ATTTTAGGGAAAAAATTGGAAGTGATGTTATGTTACATGATATTTCCTCACTTTTTTTTTTTGGGTTCTTTTTTGTTTCCTTTTGAAATATTCACAGATTGTTTCAGTTGTCTTGGAGAATTACGAAGGCGCGCATAAGGAGTCTGTTGATCCCACCGGAAATCGCTGGGTGCAAGAAGTTCACAAAACCGAGGGACACATTTCGCCTTCTCCGGATGTTGCATCGAAAATCCCCTCTTGGAAAGCCATCGTAAATGATAAAGGACAGCTCAATGTGGCACCGTAATTTTTTTTTTCTTTTTTTCACGAGCTCATTTTTTCATTTCACTTTTAGCTTTTTACGGTCACCCGATAAAGTGAAAATCGTGGTTGACTTATTACAGAGAGGAGGCCAAAAATCCGTGCTTCTGGTCAAGGGTGTGTTTACAAAACATGGCCAATCTTGGAAAGGAAGCTACCACCATGCGCCGTGTCTTGGAATCTTTGTTTCGGTATTTTGATAATGGGAATCTATGGACAGCTAAAAACGGGATTGCTTTTCCTGTTCTCAAAGAGATGCAGCTTTTGATGGACGATTCTGGTCAGGTTCAAAGCCTAATTTATTACAATGCCTCGATTATCTTTATCATTACTGCAAATTCTTCTATGATTGTTGTTTCATTTTGGGCAAGAATTGGCATTCTGCATTTGAGTCGGAATAGTAATTTCAGTCGTTTAGTTCGAAATCTATCATTTTCGGATTAAAACTGCAAAATTTTTGTTTTTGTAACTAAGATAGAGCTCAGGGAGAAATTTTGAATTTAAACCATTCTTTCCTGGCTTTCAACTAGCTTTCGATTTACATCTCCGTGACTGCATGATCGGGCTAATTATGCCGATTTTTTTTTTTTTTTTTTTNCGTGCAGGACAAAACACACACTTTTTGCTCTCAACATTAGTGAAGCATCTCGACCATAAAAACGTAACCAAACAACCCGAGATGCAGCTCGACATAGTAGAGGTTGCCACGGCCCTTGCTAGGCTCGCAAAAGTCCAGTCATCTGTGGCTATAGTCAGTGCTGTGAGTGATATCATGAGACATTTGCGTAAAAGCATACATTATTCACTCGATGATAAAAATCTCGGCGAAGATTTGATTAAATGGAATCGAAAGTTTCGGGATGCGGTGGACGAGTGCCTTATCGAGCTTTCATCAAAGGTGTTACCTGAAATCATAAATAGCCTATTCAGATTATTAATCCTTTTTAGCAGTTGATTGATGAATTTGTAAGTTGTAAAAACTTTTATTTATTTATTTACTTATTCATTGACAGGTTGGAGATGCAGGTCTGATCCTTGATGTAATGGCAACTATGTTAGAGAATATTCCTAGCGTTACTATTACAGCTAGAACAACTATTTCTGCAGTCTACCGAACGGCTCAGATCATAGCTTCGTTGCCGAATTTATCCTATCGAAAGAAGGTAAAAGTAAAAACAGTTTATTACAGCAGAAAAGAAAGTTGTCGAGTACCGATACTTATTATATGCTACCTAATTTATCACTAGGCTTTTCCAGAAGCTTTGTTCCATCAGCTATTACCCGCCATGGTCCACCCGGACCATGACACACGGATCGGAGCCCACCAGATATTCTCAGTTGTCCTTGTCCCGTCATCTGTCTCTCCTCAGACAGGTCCGGTCATATCCGACCCGGAAAAAAAGATGGACTTTCCACGAACACTATCGAGAACAGTCTCGGTTTTTTCCTCGTCGGCTGCACTTCTCGAGAAGCTGAAAAAAAACCAAAGGAACAATTCTAAGGAGAATCTTGAGCTGAATGAAGAAAAGGTCTCGGGTGATGTTGAGCAGAAAAACAGCATGAATGGTGTGTTGGACAAAGTTAAGTCGACTTACAGTCGAGTATATAGCGTCAGAAGTACACCGGCTCCGGATGCTGAGTTGGCCGTGAAGGCAAATCGAGAAGTAATTTTCTTTGATCGCGAGAGAAATCGAGTTATTTTCAATATTACAATTACACTTTGACGTATGTTTTTTTTACTTCAAAATTTTTTGAAATGATTTCGAAACTCAAAAGGGGTACTCGTAACTTTTGAAAAAAACTGGATCTTGTTATAGGATCAAAAGTTCCTTTAAACTTGTCGAGCATCAGATAATTATTTGTATGATTTATATATTTTTTGTTTCGATTTTCAGGATCCTGTTCCTCTTAGATTTAGCAGCCACCAAATATCCCTCCTGCTTTCTTCTCTTTGGGCACAATCCATTTCTCCATTAAACAAACCTGAAAATTATGTAGCCATTGCTCATACGTACAGCTTGGTTTTGCTGTTTTCTCGGGCCAAGGTAATTTTTTGGGTTACCGATTTCATATGACACAACTGGAATTGTACTTACGAGGAATCTGTGATAAGTTAATGGTTGCATAAATGAAAATTTAGAAAACCTTCTATTTCGTTTACGAACAAATATCAAAACCGGGCATTTTTTGAAACAACTTTCTTGCTTTTTTCTTTTTCAACTCTTTCTCTTCTTTTGGTGCAGAACTCTTACCGTGAGGCTCTCATTCGGTGTTTCCAGCTGGCGTTTTCATTAAGAACTGTATCTCTTGCTTCTGGTGGTAATGTTTGTTTGGCTACACAAGCAATTGTCAGATATATACAAATTTGTTTGTAAGTAAACATTTGTTAAGTTAAATTTGCAGGGACTTTGCCACCTTCTCGTCGAAGATCCCTCTTTGTAATGTCGACTTGTATGATAATCTTTTCATCAAAGGCTTACAACATTCTTCCTCTTGTCCGGCTTGTGAAAGCTACACACTCTAGTGAAGTGGTCGGTCACATATCTTTCGTCTATTTTTCCCTAATAAATAAATTGATTGGACAAGCTGTATATATTTGTAAATAACGAAGGCTGTAGTTAATTATATATGGACTTTTGCAGTACGAAATGGTTCATTTTCTCTCTTGCATGTGTCAGGTTGATCCATTTTTGTGTCTGGTTGATGACTCGAAGTTGCAGCTTAACGAAAAAGAATCAGGACAACAAATTAGTTATGGGTCGGAAGAAGATGACAGCTCGGCCATGAGATGTCTCTCGAACATTAAACTTAACGAGGACCATAGTAGAGAATCGCTAGTTTCGGTTATTATGAAGAATTTGGATAATTTGTCAGAAGTAAGTTCTATACTCTGTTGTTTGGGAAAAGGAAAAAGGAAAGTATATATTCTCTACAATGGTAACCATTTCTCACTGCTATACTATACAGTCTGAAGAGTCCAGCACAAGGGAGCAGTTGATCAAGGAATTTTCGCCTGACGATTTGTGCTCTTTTAAAGCACCATTTTTCAAAGAATGCAATGATGAAGAACATAATACAGAGTCTCATAATGATAAGTCCATCGATCAGGTAAACATTCACCGTTCAGTCTAAGTAAAGAAAGCGCAGCTATTTTTTCTCAAAAAAGTATACGAAACCATTTGATAATTGTTCATATTTTAGAAAGTAGTATAGAAGAAGGGGTATTTGTTTAAGTATATAAAAATCTCGAATGGATATTTGATTTGATATTTTGAAAATTTATTGTTGTACAGGCCGCTTCATTGTTTGCAATAGATGACGACTCTCTTCCGGATTCACTTGGAAGTAGCAAACACAATTCGCAGTCGAGCATTGAAAATTTCAATCTCTTGAGCGTAGATCAACTTCTACAATCCGTAAGCAGTTTTCCTTTTGGATTTCTGGTTTTAATTCTACTTCTTTTTTTTTTTTTTTTCTTTTTTCCACCAATATACCTAATAATGCACGAATAAAAACTCTTTCTTGCATTAATTTTGTATTTTATTTTATTACACGCAGGTTTTGGACACGGCACATCACGTAGGCCGAATATCGGTGAGCACAGCACACGATGCGTCTTACAAGGAAACGGCACACCATTGTGAGACTCTTTTGGTGGGAAAGCAGCAGAAAATGTCAAACCTGATAACCACTCAGAAAAGGCAAAAAGTCAACCTGTTGACCTTGCCTTCACAAAACTCACGCGAACAGACTAAGACAGTGGCATCACTGTACAATGGCTCACTTGAGGTTAAATTTAGTTAAATGTAGTAACTTTTCGTTTTTGCCGTATAATTTTCGTGGTTATACATTTTTTTCACTAAGTTTGGGGTTTTGTTGAAAAATGACAGGGAGAAAATACGTTCTTGGATCAAAATGTAGGTGGGCTTCCAATGAAGGCAGTAAGCCCACCGGGAATATGTTCGGCTGAGGTCCAAAATCATCCCGACTCGTTGAGGCTGCCAGCATTAAGCCCGTACGACAACTTCTTGAAAGCTGCCGGGTGCTGACTAGGACCGACTTGATTGGCTGTCCGAGCTTATGGCGTAGTATCACTCACCGGATGACACCCTTTAGTAGACGATCAACTGCCTGTGGCGTAAGCTGCATTGCTCGTTTATTGGCCCAAAGATAGCTACTGCTTTTGTGGCGGGATTGCCCGATTCTCCTTATTCTTTAAAATTTAAATTCTTTCTTTGTGGAAATTTTAGCCCTGAGGCGTGAGGATTTTTTTTTTTGTAGAATTAGTTGAGACTTGGAAAACCAGTCTCTGTGTGCATATGCATCTCAAATGAAACTTGAAACTAAACTAGTCATATGTTATAAATGGAGACTTCATTTTATGCATATTCATCTACTCCTCTGTTTTCAAGTAGGTGTATTATCTATTTTAGTGATGAAAAAAAAAAAAAATGAGAATCTGGGTCACATTAGTACAATAATAAAACCTTCATTAAAACCATAATGTAATCACATTTAAAATAGAATAAATAAAATACGGGTCTATTCATTGAACTGTTCTTCCCTAGTTGCTATTGCCTCGGCTCGGACAATTTTCCTTCTCTCCTTTTGCATCAAAATGACTGCTTTTCTTTTTCCTAAAAGGACGCTCGTTCGTTTTTCTCAGTTTCTTCTCCGGCGAAAGCACAGGATTGTTTTCAATCGCTTTCAAGACAACTCTGCTTGTGTCGTTAGCCAATGGCGTGCCTCCATTTTCCCTGTTCGTTTTACCTCTCTTCCTTGTAATCATTGCATGATGCTTATTTTGTGCGTCTTTTGAGGTTTTACGAGCTGATGGTTTTCGAGCCTTTTTACAGTCGGGTGCTACTATTCTAGTGTCAGCCTTCTCTTCGTCAGTGTCAGAAATTTCTATAATACTTGGGTCGGCTTTCTTGGCTTCAATGCCTTCCGGTAGCATCATATCTGTTGGAACATAAGAATATATACATATGTTTATGATTCTAATTTGCCTATGTCTGACAAACTGGGGAAAAACATAGAGATTTTAGCAAGAACTCTTAAAAGAACCTCTTGATTTATCTGGCAATGAAGTTGGATCAGCCATTCTCCCTCTCTGCTCGAGTCCTCTGGTCTCGTCTAATTCAAGTGATGGCGGCTGTTATGTATGAGAATGAGAAAGGCGAAAGTTTTGATTAAAATAGGCCTAAGATTTAAGAAGCACGAAAGATACAGAGTGGAGAAAATAAGATACATTTGGCTTAGGCGCTTCATCCTTTTCTTCTTGTATGCCTCGTGAATCCATGGCCCCGGGAGCTTTTCCTAGAAATGCCAAACGAGGGATAACAAAAACTGAAACGTTACTTTAGTTAGACACTTTTTAAAACGAAAAAACCGAGACCTGTAGATTTCTCTGGAGATAGATTCTGTTTGGCTTGGTCTTGATTTTGCTCAAGCCCTTTGCCCTCATCCTCATGTACCGGTGGGGGCTGTTGAAATTAAAGATGCGAAAGGTGGAAAAATTATTTAGAAGAAAATTGGGAAACACACCCCAACCGAAAAATAAAAGAACCAAAAAAAAAAAAGAAGAAAAATACATTTGTCATAGGTGCTACATCATCTTTTCGTTGCATGCATTGTGGTTCCACTGCTTGCAGAGTTCTTCCTGCAAATTCGAATCGAAAAGTATCAAATCACACTGCGTGGTTATATGCGTTTGAAGGGTAATAATAATAACCTTAATAAATAGTAGCCTGCAAAGTACCTGTATCGTTTGATGGGATAATATGAATTTCAGCTAAGGCATCTTTATCATTGGCATGCTTTTCTGAACTTCCTTTCTTTTTCTTCTTCATAGTCCTCTTAGGCCTTTTGGAAATCTCAGCATTAACCTCAGATCTCGTGTTCTCTGGACGATCATAAATATTCGATTGCAGCTAGCAAAATGAAAGACAATAAAGATTTGATCAATAATTTTCATTTTGAAAAGAAAAAAGGATTGACAAACTGTAAAAAGCTTCAGTGACTACATTGAGTTTCTGTTCGAGTGCATCCAAATCCTTCAACCACAAAGACTTTGGAGTCGCATGCCTTAGGCCGTCAACCTCATCTTTGAGCCTTTTCCTCTGAGCACACAGTTGTTGAACATTCTCGCTCGTTAAAGTGCCAATTGGCATTGACAATAGATATCCGTACTCGTTCTCTGTTGGATTAGAAGACCCTGTTGTGTTATTATTACTAGGGAATGGGGCGAACTTTTTCTGCTTCAACTCAGCCAGCAAATCTTTTCGCTTTCGGTTCATTATAATGATTTTTCCATCAACAACTGCATTTACGAACCGGACCTTGTTTTCCAGCTTCAGAAGCTCTCTTTCAAGCATACTCAGCATGAATCCCTACACAAAATATAATATATGAATTAGATCTTAACCACTAGACAAAAGCAGACACAAATAGAATACTCACTTTCCTCTTCTCATAAAATTCACGTCTCAAGCCGCAGAATTCCTCAATAACTATAACACAGAGTAGCAGCAGAAAAATAGCAAGATGTAAGATTCATACAGGATAAAGTCCAAAATGGGAAAACAAAAAAAAAAAAGGAAAAGGAAAAGATGGAAATGCTATATTAATTATTTTACTTTTCTCAGGAGAAGAATATTTGACAAGCGCTCCATTCGAGTTAAACAGATGCATGTTGCTGGTGCTGATGGTCGTGCTGAGCTTAAACTTCTCTATCAAGCCTTCGTCTTTCGCAATTGCCAGGTTCTTTTCGGTCATATATATCTCAAAATGCACGGTTTTATCATCGTTGAATTCCCTGAAGTCCTGGGAGCAACAAAAACACAGCTCACTACTACACGTATTTTAGACATGGCAGCTTTCAAGGGGGAAAAAAAAGAAAAAAACCTTGATAAATTGCTCTTTGTTTCTACCGCCTTTTGATAAGAGCGTGTCTAGAAACTGCTTGTAATCCTCGGTGGACTTACGAACAGGAAGCTCTGTGATCCTGACTGTTGTTTTATTCACTTCTTGGATAATTCCTTTTACGGCGTAACTTTCTCCAGCTTCCTTTGCGTTTATTCTCTCAATCGTGCCCTTGAATCCTTTATACCATGGCATCATGGGTTCCATGGGCTCGTCATTTAGAAAGTGCCTCACATTTGCAATGATGTCCCTTGGATTATAGTTCGGGACATACGTACTCCATCCTGTTCCGATTCCTTCACTGCCGTTAACTAGGACCATAGGAATTATGGGCACGTACCTAATTCACTCACACACATACACACACACAAAATAATAAAAAATACAGGCAAAAACACATCCTGACTAAATGCATTTACATATTCTCTCTGTACAAAAAATTGTTTTCATCTCTAGATTCCTTCAAATTTTGGAAAATAACATATGAGATATAGTGAAATTATAAAAAATAATTTTTTCGTCGTCCAAGACTGCTAACAATAGAGCACAATTTGTTAAAATAAGAAATACTCACCAAGCTGGCTCCACAGACTGTCCATCTTCACTAAGGTAGTGAAGGAGAGCATCATCGTTTATATGGAACAGAAAACGCGTGATGGGGGACAAACACGTGTAGATATACCTTGCACTGGCATGATCTTTCCCTCCCTATAAAAAATAATCATAACTCGTGAAATTTGAAATTTTTGGACTTCTGAAATATAGCTGGATTTTTTCGTGAAGTTTACAAAGTATCGAGGGTACTATTCTGTAACAAACGTAATTATTGAGGCCATCTGTTTTTCACCTGATGGCGAGTCCCGAATTGACCATTGGGCTGAAGTAAGTTAATATTGTTGCTTCCCACATAATCTTGTGCCATCCCCACAATGGTTTTGGCCAGGCTTGCTTCTCCATGATGATAGACCGTATGCTCGGACACGTAACCGGAAAACTGAGCAACCTTAGCCTCCTGGATAAAGTTTCTCTTGAAACAGCTAAACAGAATCTTCCTTTGGCCCGGTTTTAAGCCGTCAACCATACAAGGGATTGATCTCTTGAGATCAGCAGCTGAGAATTGAATGAGCTCCTTGTTGACAAAGTCGCTGTATTTTACATGCTTCTCTTTCTGATCAAGAAATGTGCCAGGCTACAATAGACAAAAGTAATTTTGTAATTTATTTTATATTTGTTTTTATTTTCTAATTAGGCTAGAGCTCAGCTGTGATTTGTAATGAACCTAGCCAAAAAGATAGAAATCGCGGAAGGAGTTCAAATTGGAACCTCGTATTTTTGGAGCCATTCTTTCCTTGCTTGTATCTTGTCCTTACTGAATGCTAGCTCAATTGCATCATTGTCCTCCTCATCCAACCACAGAAAATCTTTTTTGTGCTTTTCAAGAGCTTGAAAATATTCTTTCCCCTCCTTAGAAGTGCTAGTTCCGAGTCCCTGCAGATCAAGAGTCATAATCATCAAGTTTAGACGCTGGCTAGTAGAGGCACTCGAGTAAATCAAGAAACAGTTAAACGACAAAAGTTTCTCCGACTTCTAGGATTAATTACAATAAAACTCAATAATATTTCATAAGACGAGTGCCCCATCGTCATTTGTTTCTTTTCAACAAGTTGCATCTTGGAGAAGGTTATCAACTATGAAACACAAGCCTACCTGAATCTGTGCAACTATAATAAAACTCAATAATATTTCATAAGACGAGTGCCCCATCGTCATTTGTTTCTTTTCAACAAGTTGCATCTTGGAGAAGGTTATCAACTATGAAACACAAGCCTACCTGAATCTGTGCAACTATAATGGGGGATTCTTTTGCATTGTTGAAAGATAGTCTTCTGTAATGAAGCTAAAACTTGCGGGTAAATTTAATATTGCAATTTACTCTAAATTGAAAGTAACAACCTTATAGTACTTGATAGACCAGCCACTAGTGTTCCCCCCTAACCCTTGCTTCCAGGACTCGTATTCAGGAATCGAGTAGAAAGACAAAATTTGTCCACCTCTTGTTGCCTGAGCCATAACAAGACATTTTTTATCTTGCACAAAAAAGAGAAAAGAAGGAGATTTCTCATATAAGAACCAAAGAAACAATTTTTTACCTTTATAATAGGTGTTATGAACCCAAGAAGAAAAGATGGAATCTTTAACAGTGATGGCCACAGTGAATGAAAAAGATTAATCAGTAATCCCTTAATGTGAGACCCGTCATGATCCTTGAACATGGAGAAGATGAGAAAGATCTTTATCAAGGCAAATTACTGAAGTTTAAAATGTAAGTACAAACCGAGGTTCGTGTTTATAAGAAACCTGATCAGTCATAATCATCACATGTCCATATCTCAAGTCCTCAACTGAGTTATACTGCTTGTTGTACTCCAAGTGAAGGATCTTCATGATACTCTGGATTTCTTCATTACCATTTATCTGGAAGTCATTAGCCTCTCGTACGTTAAGCGGTTTACCTCTCAGGGGAAAGACCCCATAACAGTCTCTGCCAACAGCAGATATCCCAGCCATCTGCATTTTTTCAAATGTTAGAAGCAATACAAGTAAAATATTTCTCTTTTTTTTTTTTCTTTGCAGGCGATTGCAAACTCACAGCAAGAGCTTTTGCAGAATCTCCTTCAGTCAAGATCAAAGTACACTCTCTCGCACGTTCACTGCCAGCTTCATTAGCATCCTCGAGCTTGGTAATTCCAGTAATCCTCTGCCTTTTCTCCTTCTCGGCCCTCTTTTCTTCTCTCTTCTGCTTATATTTAACCCACGACATAATATTGTCCACCACTCCAGCTTTACAAACTATATAAACCAAAAAAAGAAAAAAAGAAACTAACTAAATAAATAATAATTAATATGATTACAAGTCAACAAGAAATATTTATTATATACTAGCCTTCTTCCAGATAGTCGTCATGCAGTACACACGTTGACCCAAAATCTTCGAACTTAGTCGTTAGAGTGAGTTTTGTTTGAGAGTTAAAAGATGGGTTGTCGATCAGGGCATTTACAAACACCCAAAGGTTACTCTTCACGAGATGTGGCCGCAAGAAGATGTTTGGACTTGTCTGGTCAATTTTTTCGTATACATAATCTATGAGCTGATCGATCACGTAATCCACATGAGTCCCTCCCTTCATAGTAGCAATTGCATTCACAAAGCTGACCTGTTAGGAACAAGGAGTCCTTAAATAAGTTTCAGAAGGCTGAAACATCATTTTTGCATGTCAAAAGATAGGGAAATTACAATGGTAAACAATAATTTCTTGCGAGAGTTCATTAAAATTTGCCCTTGAATACACAGAACCTTCAGCTAGCAGGATATTCTACCGAGATTCCATCATGCCATACCGCATGCTATGAACTTCTTCTTCTTCTTTTTTTCTTTTGGTAATTTACAAATCTGAACTTTTTTTTTTATTCCTAATCCTCAGTCTCTCATCCAAACTGAGAATGAAGAATTAGAAATTACACAAATGTTGGATGGTAATGAGCCATTTGTCATGCACATGCATACGACTGAATCATGTTGGATCGTATTCCATCTGCAGTCTTCACCAGTAGAATTTGAACACAAAAACAATAGTTATGCAATACGTGTTGAGTATATATACCTGCTCAAAATGGCTGTCTCGTACGCACACACATATTTCCCACCTATCGTTAAATCTTTCCACAAACCTACAAATTATAAAAGCTCCAAGCGTAAAAGCACTAATATTCTGCATATTGAATTAACTGTAGCCAGTAAAGTGAAAAGAGAACCTCGGGATGGAATCTTTCTTGTCACCAAACCGGGCCTCAAGGTATAGATCAACATAATCGGCAAACGAGCTCACAGGAACTTGTTCTCCGTTCAACACCACATTTACAGTCTCTCCTATACATCCAGCCACATCAACCACTCGCCTTTTCATCAATGCCAACACATCAGCTTCGAGATGGTCCATCTGAAATTTGGCCAAGTCGGGCTTGAACGAGACTCTCGTCCAACTCTCCCCATTGTAATTTGTGATCACGGGTGGGGAAACCTTGTTCATATTATCTGAAAACACCTGCAAAAAACACATTTATCCTCAGATAACAACATTTTGTGATAAAAAAACACACGACAAAAACCTCCGGGTGAAGACTGGTTAACAGAGCATATAATTTGAGATCCACAATCAACAAGAACCAATGTCAAAAGTAAAAAAAAGCAATCTTTCTGCTCTGAAACAAATGACATTAACTCAAACCCATTCACCAAAATCAATCAAACAAGCACGGAAATCCACAAAAAACACCTGCTTATACATCTTCCTCCTCTTCGCATCAGCGGACTCGACAACAAATTCAGTTGAGAAAATATTCGTCAGCTTGGCCCCGAACCCGTTCCTCCCCCCGGTTGTTTTCTTACAGCTGTCGTCGTAATTGCTGCTCGTCAATAGCTGCCCGAAAATCATCTCGGCCACATAAACGTTCTCCGACCCGTGAATGGCCACCGGAATCCCCTCGCCGTTGTTGAACACGCTGATGAAATTTGCTCCGGCGTCGATTTCGACCTCCAGCCGGTCCATGGACGGGTCCCGCTGGCAGTTGTCGGCGGCATTGACCAAGATCTCGTCGAAGATCTTGTAGAGGCCGGGCACGTATGCAATGTCCCGATTCACCATTTTGCCCCCCTCGAAAACCCAGAGGCTCTGCTTGCTCTTGACGACGGACCCGATGTAGGTGTCGGGCCGGAGGAGGATGTGGTGGTGCTGCGTGCGCTTCTGATAGGTCTCCTCAATGGTTTTTTCGGGTTCGGGCTTTGAAGGGTTGTTCGGGCCGCGGGGTTTGGTCTTGTTGGCTGCCATGGCAGGAAGATGACAGTGAGGTCGATGCTAAACTGTATGAGGTTTGCGTTGGGATTTGGAGTAGAAAATGATTAGGGAAGATTTGGAGAGAGAAGTATTAAAGTATTAACAGATTAATTTGGATTTGATGCTACCTTTCCATAGTTGCACAAACTTCTGTGTTTTATGTTTATTTTTTGTTTTTGAATTATTTTAATCAGGCGGGAAAAAACGTGAAGAATTTGACATTTGTTAAATACTATCACGTATATCTTTACGTTAGTAAACGAGTCAATAATTGAATTCGAACTCACCTAGTTTATCAGTATTAACGAGTAGAACTTTAATGGCACAAACTACAGAGAATTATATAAAAAATCTTTTCGAGCTTTATCAAATTGAATAGAGCTCATGCTCGACTCGTTTATCAAACGAGTTAAGCCCAGCTTACGAACGACTCGTTTTGCTTAAAAGTTTCAAAATAGTATTTGTTCCGAGTGATTAAGGGTGCTTTTGGCCAAAAGTTCTAAAACATACTTTTTGAACACTACTAACATTTATACTTGATGATCTATAAATTTCTTAGCCCATCATATTCATATATCCATCCATAAAGATCACAACTTTTTCATGCACAGCAACTCTCAAGATGCACAACGATGAGAAATTTTACTACAAACCCAAACCCAAACCCAAACACCTCAAGAAACTATTTTTCATATATCTAAAAAAAAAAAAAGCAATCACAACCCACGAACCGAGCCCTAGTTCTGCCCGATCTCCCGTAACATCTCAACCACATTTTTCATGCGGGGCCGCCTGGCCGGTGTGCTATCCGTGCACAACAATGCCACCTTGAGAGCTGCAAGCATTTCTTTTCTCCACGCAAAGGAAACCGTGCTCAACCGCTCGTCAAGAATCTGCTCCGGTGTTTCTCCTCTGGCTGGTGCATGGTGGACCCACCTCACAAGATCCACCCCTTCGCCAAGTGTCTCGTCAACCGGAAGTTTAGACGTTAGAATCTCCAGCAAAACAACACCATAGCTATAGACATTACCAGGTGCAGTCACTTGCATGGTGTACGCGTACTCTGCATGAGAGATCAAAACGAGTAATTAGCATCGCCAATATTTTTCCGGGTTAAAATAAAAAAAGTTGCAATTTCTTTTTTTTTTTTGTCAATTACCCGGTGCAATATATCCGAATGAGCCAGCGATAGCACTAATGCTCGCGGTCCCTCTGGACGGGTCAATAAGCTTCGATATTTCGATTTCTCCAACGAGCGGATTCAAATTAGAATCAAGAAAAATGTTCCCCGAAGATATATCTAAATGGATAATCGCCAAGTGATGGAGAAAAGCCAACCCCTCGGCCACACCAATCGCAATCGAGAGCCTCGTGGGCCAGTCGGGCTTATAATCTGGGATTTCCTTCGAGTCGCGGAGAAATCGAGCCAAAGTCCCGTTTTCGAAATGCGGGTATAGCAAAAGCAAAGCATCCTCAAAAGACACGAACCCGACAGGGCTCGTCAAATTCTCGTGGCATAGTTTGCCCATCTTCTCGATCTCTCTAATCATCCTGCTTTTGTGATGAACTATGATTTTGTCCATCGACTTCAACTTTCGAACGACCAAGATTACCCCGGAAGGCATATCCGCCCGGTAGAGAGTGCTGAAAGTACCGATGCTCAGTTTATTCGAATCTTTTGCAACGGCTCTGGCAATAGCTTCAAAGTCGATCGCTTGCCTTAGGTTCTCGATAAAAACACTTCCAGCGACAATCACAGGCTTGTTTTCACCAATTTGCACTCCATCGTCTTTTTCATCCTTAATACCTTTCTCTAATTTCTCTCTCATCATGAATAAGAAAACGATGATGGCCACCGAGGTAAAAACTATGAAACCCGAACCAATAACAGCTAATACAACCCTGAAGGAGACCTTGTGGTGATCAACATTATTACGAGTAGAATCACTTAAATTTCCACACAAATCATTCAACGGCTCACCACATAGACCTCTGTTTCCAATAAAGCTCAAATTTAGGCTTTTTTGAAAGGGTACAAATGAGGGTATTGGCCCCGTAAGTCGATTGTTAGAGAAATTAACCTCGATCAAGCTCAGCATCCCTTTGAGCGCGGATGGTATACTCCCACTGAGCTGATTATTCGAAATATCTAATGAAACCAGCTTGTCGAGCCTTCCTAGCTCGGCTGGTAACTGGCCATACAAATGATTCGAGCTCAAATTCAAAGCAATCTGCAGGTTCTTGATACGGCCAATCTCGGGAGGGATATTTCCAGTTAAGTAATTACCTCCCAAATGCAGTTCCAGCAATTTTCCGCAATTTCCAATCCCGTTCGGGATTTCACCTCTCAACGAATTCTGCCCGAGGAGCAAGAACTGCAACCTCGATGAATTGCAGATATTTTCCGGTATAGTGCCGTTGAATCTGTTATTGCTCAAGTCGAGCTTGTTCAGATTCTTGGCCCTGAGGATTGACTGAGGAATCTCACCAAACAGGTTGTTTGAAGAAATAATCAGCTCCTGCAAGCTAGTCACCATTCCAAGTTCTGAAGGTACACTCCCAGAAAACCCATTTGAGGCTAAATTTAAGAGGGTGAGGTTCGGACATTTCGAAAAATCCCTTGCAATCTCCCCGGAAAGATTATTGTTATCCGCTTCGAAATAGGTAAGGCCACTGACATCACTGACTTCTCGGGGGATCTCACCAATCAGATTATTATCTCCAATTCTAACATTTGACAGCCCTTTGCATTTCCCAATTGAATCAGGAATAAAGCCACTCAACCTGTTCTGAGTCAAGATCAAATGTTCCAATTTCCCCATTGAGAAAATGGACTCTGGGATTGAACCCTCCAGATAATTTGAATGAAGGTTCAACAACTCAAGCTCGGAGAAAGACCCTAAATTTTCTGGAATAACGCCACTCAGCTCGTTCTCATAGGCGGTAAAAACTCTCAGACAGGTCAAATTACCCACCCAAATGGGAATGGAACCACTCAATCTATTAGTGAACACCTGCAAATCCTGCAAATCCCTTAAACCCTCGAGCTCCTCAGGGATTTTACCCGTGAGCATATTATTCGAAAGATTTAATGCCCTGAGGTTTGTGAGCTTACCCAAATCAAGAGGTATTGAGCCCCCAAAGTTGTTAAAGGACAAATCAAGAAACTGAAGCTCAGACAAATTTCCAAAAGCTGGTGGGATATTTCCATGGAAGTTGTTGTGTGAGAGGTCAAGCCATTTGAGTGACTTGAGCTCAGAGATGAGGGTGATATTCCCTTTCAGCCCACGGTTCGAAAGATCGAGTCGTTCGACATATGAAGAGTTTGAGCTGCAAAAAATGCCAGGCCAAGTGCAGTACTCCGAGACATCTTTGTCCCATTTTGGTAAATTTAGCTCTTTACCAATTGCCAGTAATGTAGACTGATCACTCAGAAGCTGGGCTGTGGCAAGCTGAGAACTTGAAAGTATCCCAAACAAGAAAATGCTTAACAAACACAAAGGTGCCATTTTTCTAAACATTTATAGCAGCCCAAATGGGAAAATTGATGAAACTGGAAAATTTCAAACTTTTTCGTGAATCTTTGCCCAGAATAGGATTGTGTATACACACTATACACAGCTCAGACACTGTTGCTGATATTTAGTAAAAGTCGAACTGATAATAAAGAAATCAAGACAACCTTGACCTAGAAAACCCACATAGCCTTTCCCCCTTTTTTTTTTTTCCCAATAAGCGGTCTCTAAACTCAGGTACCTAGAAAATCTCAAGAAATGCTCGATAAAAAAAAACCCAAATGCACGAAACAAAAACCTTACGGGGGTACGGAATCTTGATTGAACCTAAACACACACACACACACACACACACACACACACAAACAAACAAACACTTACAAAAAACGACTGAAAATACAAAAAAATTGACAAAGAGGGCTCAGGAAAAAAGAGAGCTTTCACTCAGCAAGAAAAGTGCAGGTGATAAGAAGAATCGTACAATGTTTGAGCAAATGTTTTCACGAGCCAGGTGTTTTTTTTTTTTCCTTTGCAGCAGCCAGTGTGTTTTACTGTGTGAGGGAGAGGGACAGAGAGGAGAGTGTGATGTTACATGTGTAAAGAAGAAAGCTTCACGAGAAAAGAACAGTGTTGAGTTAATGAAACGAGTATCAGACTGAGAGGTCAGTGTCTGTCCCACTCTGCAACACTCTACTCAGGGGCGAATTTACCTTGAGCAATGGGGGGGCAATTGCCCCCCCTCAAATTTTAAATTTTTTAACTATTAATATCAAAAAAATTAATTTGCCCCC